CTGTGACTCTTTGAATAAACCAGCACGGTTATATTTTTTATATACTCAAGTGGTCTGAGTCGTCCCTCGGAGTTCCTGGTTTGAAAGAACCGGATGAGGCTTTAGAATAGAATAGAGCCTTTAAGTCCATGAACCAATAAGCGACACGTCTTGACTGCACTTCAATTTCTTGACCACTAGATGTCCTACTGGAGCACTGTGTCATTGAGGCCTCGAGTAATGAACCATTTGTGTGACCACTGTGTAGAAGCTTCAACAAAGCCTCATCGGCCATCACTAACTCGAAGGTCAGTCTTTGAAATGAGCCATACTGGTCTGAGAAAACGCATTTTATAACCTCGGATCAACAAGGGGCGTGGAAGAAGTGCGGTGCGCATTTTAACAATATTGGGCACAGAGGACTGGAAATAAACACAGGCCCTGAAGATAGTGGAGTGGAGGTGTTTAGTACAGCAGATGGACAACACTTTTAGATAGTTTTTACTTTATTTATCCAGATTTGTGCTGAATCACAGTTAAGGCAGCTTTAAATAAAATATAAATTATTGCTTATTTAGATTTAATATCTCCTGTTTTTTTTATTTTATTAAAGTTGTTAGAAATTAATAAATTAGTCAGATAATTATTAGACTTTAATGTGTGTTAGTAATGCAGTTTAGTAAGATTCAAAGTCTGCTCTGCTTCAAGGTTCGCAGTAAGCCATGACACCGATTGTTTTTTTTTTTTGTTTTAATCTTGTGTAAGAATTATGTCTGAATGGATGTTTTAGTTACACATCACATATACAACATACACACACATTGAGCTACCTCATTTTGTTATGACTAGGTAATACACAGCTGCTCCAAGCATGTGGAGCTCTAGATAAGAGATGGAGTCTGCTGGACGGACTTCATCTGTGTGAGGGGTTAGTCCACAACTGATAAATGTATTAGGATCTGGGTTTCCGGGATCTTCTGCTCTCTTCTCCAGCAGCTTGTCTGAAGGAGGGAGCCCTGGGTTGTGTTCTGGAATCCTTTTTATACATATATTTATATATTTTTTTTGTAAATAAACCAGCACTAAAATCAAGAAAGATGGCCTGTTTTTTTACTCAGATCTGTCCAGTAAAAGAACTGGGGTATACCAAAGTTTTTAATTGATCATTTCTTTTCTTTCCGAGTCCTTCACAATACCTTACGTGTAGCGCTGCTGTATCCCGCTTTTTTAAAGCGCGGCTGACTGCGGCATACTGTTTGACCAATCACTGGCTGCATTTGTTGTTGTTCGTCCAAATCCACCAATACTGTTGACGCATTTTAGTGGAGGCGGGACTTCCTGTTTGTCGTAGCAAACCTTCGGCCTCCCCATGCGGTTTTAATCTAAAGGAGGACTCGTAGTTTACACCGAAAAGGTAAGAATGTAAAATTGTTTTTAATATTACTGTAGCAAGTGCAGGGTTTTTCGAGGTTTAACTGGTTCCCAGGAAATCGCAGGAAAGATGTATTCAGCTAAAGCTACAACGAAGCTTCCCTGGAGTGAAACGGGTTCTTTCATTGTTTGCTTGAGGGAGCCACCGATCTACGTAGCGTTGTGTAGCCTAGCATTAGTTAGCATAGCAGGCTAATACAGCAGTCGTCAGATTTGTTAATGAAGCCTACCTCGACTGTGAATGATTGGACACTTTATAGTTCATGTAGTCTTTATAATTACGCATGTTATTGTTTATATTATTCATTTAGTCTTGCTGGTCAGTTCAACGAATAGCAAATGCTGTATAGCAAGTTAGCTTGCCACGTTAGCAATGGTTATGCAACACTATAGCTTTCTAGTGTGGTTAGAAGCTAACCGGTCTGGTTCATCCGGCACGGTTGGCTCAGTCCTGGAACTATGTTTAACCTGATTTTTTTAAATGACGTGCGTATGTGTTGCAGAGGTCACATTTGTTTGCAAACAGCGTGCTAACTGTAATGGGCCTAATGCACGTTTTCTTTCGAAGTTTGCCAAATGAGCTAGTATCTCACATTTTATAAAGGAGCTGCGTGTGCACACAACAGTGTTCGTGTAGGCTTTACATCAGGACCAACGTCACTGTTTATACAAAACCAAATCTGTTTTGTAATTATAACATGGGGACATCTACACCTTTCCCCTCTTGTACAAACATTTTGTTTAAATGTATTTAAAATGTGGTGAAATCTGGCACAGAGGATACAAACATCACCAGGTGGGCTTGGTTAACAGCCGCCATACAAACTTAGGAAGTGGGTGGGGGTGTTTAAGCCCTGATAATTGATGTGACAGAGACACAGAAACAGGTTGGAAACCGAACTTTATGAACACTCCGTTTTAGATACAATGGCCGAGAATGATGTTGACAACGAGCTGCTTGATTATGAAGAAGACGAAGAGCCTCAAGGAGCCCCAGAGAGCGCAGCCCCTGGGGGAAAGAAGGAGGTGAAGGGTTCCTACGTTTCCATCCACAGCTCTGGCTTCAGAGATTTCCTGCTCAAACCAGAGCTGCTCCGAGCCATCATCGACTGTGGCTTTGAGCATCCGTCTGAAGGTGAGGGGCATTTTCTTGTCTTGGCTAATGGAAGTGTAACGCCTGAAGGTAGCTGCATTGATAATGCTGCAGCTGGATCGACTGTGTGTGTCCTATGAAAGACAGACTGTACTGATGCTAGAAGGATTGTTGACTGTCTGGACACTCTCTGCACTACCTTGAAATAAAAACTCTGTGCTTCTCATGCAGTTCAGCATGAATGCATCCCACAGGCTATCTTGGGCATGGACATCCTGTGCCAAGCCAAATCTGGTATGGGCAAGACAGCAGTGTTTGTGTTGGCCACACTGCAACAGATCGAACCTGTTGATGGACAGGTTAGTGTGTCTCTTAACACAATAATCTCTATGTATTGAATCAAATAGAGCATTTTTGCAAGTGGTTAACAGTGGATCTGTCCTTTGGCTTATGGTCCAAGATTGGAATTTTACATTTCAACCTCATTAGTTTGTCTTTATATCTAGTCTTAACGTGATCCAGAATATACAGATGTATTTACATGGTGTACCAAAAATAAACATAGAGATCAAATAATGAAGACCAGAGAGATAATGTCAAAATTGTTCTAATTATAATGGGATCGCATGCTGTTAGTTTGACTATGTAATTACAAGGACTTCTGCATTTTATTCTTTATATTGCCACTGTGGTTCATTGTCGCACAGGTGTTTCCATTTAAGTGAATTACATAAACATGGTCCTCAGGTCTCAATGCAATGAAATGTTCTTCCTCAAAAAAGCTTAGAGGAGTGTTAGTCTTACATTTCCTGTAGGATGTCTTGAGTTGTTTCCTTGCTTTCTGTAGACATCAACATTAGTTACTTTATATTTAATGTTGCGTTTCATTCTGGTGTGACTGGAGTGTGCATGCAGAAGGCCTCTTTCAAAACATTCACACTGCTGCTAGATGCATTTAAGCAAAAACATGTCATTAGCTTATTTTTAATTACGTAGTGCATTCATTTAGTTCCAGGGATAGGCCGCCATTGATTCTATCACAATGTAAATGACTATTTCATTTATTAACTAATATGAAAACTGACTGAAAATTAACCTAGTTTGTCCTAGATGCTATTATAAAGGTGTTGAAAGCTTTAAGTCTAACTTGGTGTGACTACTGCAGAAGCCATGTGGAAACTTACTTTCAAGATCCAAAGTGTGAGAGTTTGTTTTACTGTGTGTCCTCTCCCCAGGTGTCTGTATTAGTCATGTGCCACACGCGAGAGCTGGCCTTCCAGATCAGTAAAGAGTATGAACGTTTCTCCAAGTACATGCCCACAGTAAAAGCAGCAGTATTCTTCGGTGGTCTGGCCATAAAGAAGGACGAGGATGTCCTGAAGAAGAACTGTCCCCATATTGTTGTCGGAACGCCGGGCCGCATCCTGGCACTGATTCGAAACAAGACCCTCAGTCTGAAGAACGTCAAGCATTTTGTCCTGGATGAGTGTGACAAAATGTTGGAGCAGCTAGGTGTGTTGGTCGACTATAAGCTGACGTTTCTTCTCTGTTGTCATTGATTCCACTTTGATGCATCTGCAGACTCAATCAGAATGTAATCAGTGACCTGTCTGTGTAACAGATATGAGGCGTGACGTACAGGACATCTTCAGGATCACACCCCATGAAAAGCAGGTCATGATGTTCAGTGCAACACTGAGCAAGGAAATCCGACCAGTCTGTCGCAAATTCATGCAGGATGTGAGTGAAAGATGGGCTGTTGTGTTACTGTAGAATTTTGTTTGTAAGAAGCTGCTCCTCAGTCGAAGCTGCAGCACATTTGAATTTCAGACTTTGCTGCCAGAAACGGACATGCAATTTCATGGTAAGACACCCTGACTAACCCTCTTCACCTCCTGTGCAGCCCATGGAAGTATTTGTGGATGACGAGACCAAACTGACACTCCACGGTTTGCAGCAGTACTACTGTAAGCTGAAGGACAGCGAGAAGAACCGCAAGCTCTTTGACCTGCTTGATGTGTTGGAGTTTAACCAGGTATGATGTGTAAGAACATGTCACTGGTTGCAGTCCGTAGTCTGGACATTGATCCCGGCTTAGCTTCAGGTTATTCTCTTTGGCCTGTGTTCTACATTTGTTTTCCTAAAGACTAATTTGGATTGTGATGAAATGTAATGTTA